TCCCTTGAGATTATTTCTATGACATAAATAAGTAAAGTGATATTCGGGGTGTCTAGTGACAGGGTCACCCAGAGATGGGGAGCTAGGGTTTGGCCTCAGGTCATTCTTAGCAGAGTTGCTGTGAACACAAAAACCTTCAAGGACATCTTCCATCTGGGCCCATGACCCAAACAAAGTCTATGTCAGAGTCAAAGATGAATGGCAGCTGTCTCCTGAGAGCAGCCTCCCAGTGCCACCTCCTCTGGAAGGCCCCAGCACCTGGCCTTTCCCTGCCCTCCGTCACCTCCCCCTAGGTGATTGGCTAGCTGGCACTGTTGCCAACCACTGCATTGTCCCCTGGGGGCCCAGCCCGCCTGAGATGAGCCTGCCCTGGTAATTGATTGACCTTTGATTGATGCAGGCTGCCGGTTAAACTGTGGTTTGAGCCACAGCGCAGCCAAGCCTGGGAGTTGCCAAAGACCAAGGAATCCTTCCAAGTATGGACACTTTATCTGAAGTTCCTCTGAAACGGAGCCTCCCCTGGCTGCGGAGAAACCCGTTGACTTTAGCACTAAATAAAGCGGAGACTCAGGAAGAGTCGAATGGGGCATCGAGGAAGATCTTTTGCCCTTGATGTCTGAAGCTCCAGTTGCTAATCAGTCATGTGTAGAAATAATCCTGACCTCCAGCAACTATGGCTGAGGGGTTGTAAAGAAAATATGCTTGGCAACACAGTGGGAGCTTAATAAATGTAATGAAATCTCATTACAATGGTGGTGGGGGCTGGAGGCAGTGTTAGAATTCTCACCTCCCTCCCAGGTAAGAGGAGATACACGTTCAATTCCTGGCCAATATACCTCTTGCACAACTGCCATCTGCCTATGAGTGGAGGTTTGTGTGTTGGTGGCTGCTAGCCACAAAGTAAGCAGTTCAAACCCACCAGCCGTTCCCTGGGAGAAAGATGAGGATTTCTGCTCCAGTAAAGATTTACAGCCTCTGAAAACTCTTTAAAGGGTCACTGTGAGTTGGAAAGTGGCACTGTAGGATACTCGACCACAAAGTCGGTTTTAACCGAGAGGTCGCTATGTTTAGGGACCGACTCAATGGCACTTTTTTGTTCTGCTGTGTATAAGGTCGCTATGAGTCGGCACTAACTCGGCACCTAACAACAACAACAATGGCACTTTACAATAACAACACTGAGTCGGAATGGACTTAATGGCAGGTGCAAACAGGTTTCAGCGGAGTTTCAGTACAAAGATGAGCTGGGAGGAAAGACCTGCTAATCTATTTCCGAAAAACTAGCCAATGAAAATCCACTGGATTCCACAGGTCCAATCCGAGCCTGAGCACGAGGGTAGCTCGGGACTAGACAGCTGTGTATAAGGTTGCCATGAGTTGCAGGCTAAGTCAGCTGCAGCTCCTCACAACAACATAATGGTGGCAGCTGTTGTTTATTGATTTCGCCTGCGTGCCATCCACTTCTAACAGTGACCCTGTGGGGCATCATTGCAGCAGGGGTGCCCAGCCTCAGCCCTGTTGACATTTGGGGCTGGATAATTCTTTGATGTGAGGCTGACTTTGTGCACTGTAAGGCGCCTTGACAGCATCCCTGGCCTCTGCCCCTAGATTCTGCCAGTAGTGAGTACCACATCCTCCACCCAGCCATAACAACCAAAACTGTCCAAATGTCCCCTAAAGAGGCGGACAAGAGGTTCACTTGGCAGAACCTGTCCTGGACCCAGGCAGAGCCTTGGCTTTTCCCCTCTGACCCAATGTGGAGCCCCAGTTGAGAAAGTGGTAGGGCTTTGTTTTTCTGAGGGCACCCTCACTGAGATGGGGGGGAGGGGGTCTGTGTGGCTTACCTCACCAGACCAGCCTTCACTAGGCTGTTCCAATAACCTGTTGCTAAAGGTCACGGCACAGCTGTCCAGCCCCCCTCACTGGGAAAGAAAGGTCCCCACTGTGACCCCCAGAAGATACCACCACTCATTGTGGAGGCCGGACCATGAACCCCACAACCACATCCTCTCAAACCTGCACCCCCAGCCAGGGTCACTGCCCACAGTCCCCTGTGTCCCCTCCCAACCCGTGGTGAGGAAGAAGGCCTCAGGTTCCTGTGTTCCTTGCAAGCGGCACCAGAGAACTGGTTTTTCTGTTCTGTGACACTTCCAACCACTGACTCACTTGGCTGGTGAACTATTTATACCCCTCGCACAAATAGTACCTTAGGACCTCAGGCAGACGGCTGCATTCTGCTGGCAACTCAGGGCGCACGTGGGGAGTTGGGGTTGGGGAGACACTAGATAATGAGTCTGACAGATTTGGAGTAGAAGCCCATCCACTGCTGTATAACCTTAGGCAGATCATTTAACCTCTCTGAGCCACCTCTGTAAAATCAACCCGGTTTAAGTAAAATTAAGTATGGAACGTTCCCAGCATAAAGACAGATTTTAATAAGCAGTCGGGGTCCCTGAGGGGGGAGCAAATGGTTGAGTGCTCCTCAGTTATTAACCAAAAGTTTCTAACCCACTCAGAGGTGCTTAGGAAGAAAGGTCTGGTGATGTACTTGCAAAAGGTTACAGCCCTATGAACCGCTCTACTCTGAAGCATAATGGGTCATCATGAGTCGGTGCTGGTTTGGGTTTGTCTTCTAGTGAGTGGGCTCTATTAGGTGCCCACAGTCATGCAAAGCTTATGTATACCCAGCGAAGTGAGAAGGGGGCCAGCTAACCCTAAAGGTGGTACAGGAATGAGATGTGTGTTCACAAAGGACCTCCATGCCCTTGGGACTGAGGTTTCTGGAACTTAGCCCTTCTGGGTCACACTGCTGTCACCAGTATTGTCCTCGAAAGCATGAGGGCTACGCAGGTGCCTTTAGGTACAGAAAGGACTACTCTATGACCCTGAGACCACCTCCCCAGTTGTACCAGGAGACAGAGGCAGGGTAGGCATTTGTTTGGTTAGCCTGATAAACAGGGCTGGGCTGGGCTATGCAGAGAAATTCCCCACCTACCAATGGGCACCTCCCCAGTCAGGGAACCCAAGGAGGCCAGTCTACAGGCATACTGAGGAGCTATCTACTACCCTGTCCCTATCTCTGCCAGGCAGTTGGTGGTAGCAAAAGAAAAGAGAACAAAAGGGTGTGGGCCAAAGGCATTGTTACACCTAATCACTGCTCAAGGCCGGCTCAATGGGCTAATGAGCAGTATCTCCCTCCACACCCTATGGGCACCCTGTACAATGTGTTCCCAGACATCCCAGCCTTACCCATAATACCTTTGATCCTGCTAGGAAATTACAGGTGGGGCTTCCTCCTGGAACCCTCGGCCATGTGGTACCTTCTGCTATCCTGTGGAGTTATCAAAGGCAGAGACCCTGTCCTAGACTTCATTCACTCATTCATGTTTGATTCATTCATTCAGCACTTGCTAAACACTATGTACTTTTCTCCCACCCCCTAAGCCCATGGAAAGAAACTTTTACATCCATGTCATGGTCTCTTTCCCAGAGGTTCTCAGTGTGGGATGATTTCATACACACGCACACGGGAGGCATTTTGCAATATCTGAAGACATTTTTAATGATCATGACTGCTGAGGACTGCCAGCATCTTGTGGATAGAGGCCAAGGATGCTACTAAACATCCAACAGTGCTTAGGACAGCCCCACAACAAACAATTATCCAGCCCTAAATGCCAACAGTGGCGAGGCTGAGAGACCCTGCCCTAGTCCACAAGACCCTGTCTTTGGTGAGACAAGATGTCCCTTGGGTGCCCATGGAGATGCTGGCAGGCTAGCTCGTCCTGGCAATGGTCAGTGAGTCCTAACAGAAGAGCCCCTCACAAATCCACACCCCTCTACTGTTGTGACTTCTGTCCCTCTGCCTGTGACATGTCACGCTCAGTACAGAGGGGCTGAGACTTCAGTTTCCTTGTGCCACAGGCTTATCCAAGAATTAGTACTGTTCAACACACAGGAGGCTTCTAGGTCAGTTCATGCGCTCCCCATCATTGGAGGTAACCGAGCAGGAGCTAGGCCCCAGCATTCAGGCTGTGACTACTCTGATTGGTCAGTTGTGTCTTAGTTACCTGGTACTTTCACAACACAAGCGGGTGGCATTAAAGACTGGAAATGCATTTTCTTACAGTTTTGGAGACTAAAAGGCCAATCTGAGTCTTATCTGTGTTGATTCCTTCCTTGTCAGTAGACTTTAGTTCTGTGGAGTGTCTTGACTTGAAGATGATCTTACGTGATGTGTGTGTGTGTGTGTGTGTGTGTGTGTGTGTGTAATCTACTCTCATTTTAACTCAGAAGTGGTTAACCTTAGGACCCTGTTTACTGTGATCTAATTAATATCATGAAGTCCTGGTGTGGCGCTGCAGGATAAACACTGCAAAGTGCAGTCGAGTTGGTTCCGACTCATAGTGACCCCATATAGGGTTTCCAAGGAGCAGCTGATGGCCTTGAACTGCTGACCATGTGGTTCGCAGTCCAGTGCTGATCTTATAGCGCCACACCAAGAGTCCAAAGTTAATATCATGTAGTCCTGGTATGACACTGTAGGATAAGTATTGGACTTCAAACAAGGTCAGTTTAAACTGCAAGGTTGGCAGTTCAAATCCACCAGCCATTTCTTGGAAACCCTATGTTGTTGATGGTGGTGGTAGATGTCATCAAGTCAGTACCAACTCATAGCGACCCTGTGCACAACAGAATGAAACACTGCCTGGACCTAGACCAATCTCACAATTGTTGTCATGCGTGAGCCCATTGATGCTGTCACTTTGCCAATCCTTCTTGCTGGGGGTCTTCCTCTTTTTCTCTGACCCTCCACCTTACCAAACATGATACCCTTCTCCAGCGACTGGTATACAGGGTGTTATTTGTCAGAACCGACTCGATGGCACTAAACAAGTTAATATCATAAAACTCTATTTCTAAAATTAGATGTTGGATTAGGGTTCCAGCGTATATTTTGAGAGGGTATGATTTAAGGGTGTCTCTCTTTGTGCCCATAGGTATGATGCTGGCCGGGATGGTTTCATTGACTTGATGGAGCTAAAGCTCATGATGGAGAAACTTGAAGCCCCCCAGACCCACCTGGGCCTGAAAAACATGATCAAGGAGGTGGATGAGGACTTGGACAGCAAACTCAGCTTCCGGGAGGTAAGCCCCAGCTTACTTACAGGGGCTATACCTGAGACTAAGCCAACTCCTTCAGAGCTTGGGCATCTTAGAAACTAAGGCGGGTTGGGGGCCCTAAGAAGCCTTCATGAGAAGGAAGGACCGCCATTTTTCATTTAGTAAGCATTTATTGAGTAACTACTATATACCCAACCGCATATGGGCCCTGGGGGTACAGAGAAAGTCTCTGAGCACCAGAGATCCTGGGGTGTAGAGGAGGAGGTGCAAAAGAATGAAATAAGCGAATGCTGTAATTCAAAAGAAGAGATGAAGAGAGACTATCCCGGGCACTGTGCTGGCTGATCGCATATTCCTGATCTCATTTACTCCTGGCTCCATCTGAGACAGGAATTCTGAGCAAGCCTATTCTACGGAAGAGGAAATAGAGGCTCAAGGACAGGTAGCAATGGTACGGGGACCCAGGCCACATAGGGATAAATGCCAGGGGGCGGCTGGTGTCCAAAGATTTGAGGCTGAACTGGGACTTGGGGAAGAAAAAGGAAGCACAGAAAAGAGTGGTGGCAGGGGAACCCTGGGGGAGGACAGATCGAAGGGGAGGAGGGTGCTGTACAGGATAAGGATTTGTGAAATCAGGAAAAGACACAGGTTCAAATCCCTCTTCTGTCTCTTTCTGGTGCCGGGACTTTGGGCAAGATTGTTCCCTTCTTGGAGCCTTTCTCATCTGCTAAATGGGCACAGTAAAAGTACCTTTCAAGCTCCATGTGGACAGTTTGGGGGACAGAGAAAGACAAAGATAAGGGGTAGGTTAAGGCCATGCTGTCAAGATTCGTGGTAAAAACTGGAAGTAGATGAAACTGACCTTACTTCGGAAGCCCCCTAACACCTCCCATTGTACAAGTGGGCAAACAGACCCAGAGAGGAAGGGACATGGTGCACAGAGGGCCAGGAACCCAACTTCCTGTTGTCCAGGGAAGACCTAAGGCTGGGTCTGGGTGTGGTGGGGACTTTGGCCCCTGTCTTCCTCTTCCTAACCCCACATCTCTCTGCCATAGTTCCTGTTGATTTTCCGCAAGGCAGCGGCTGGGGAGCTACAGGAGGACAGCGGGCTCCATGTGCTGGCCCGCCTCTCTGAGATTGACGTCTCCACCGAGGGAGTCAAGGGAGCCAAGAGCTTCTTTGAAGCCAAGGTTAGGAAGGGAGGCTGCGCAGAGCCTGGGGCATGATGTGGCCGGGGGAGGTGGGCCGGGGGGGAGGGGGGCAGGGAAGAAGTGGGGGACAGAGTCTGATGCCCTGACAAGGTCAGGTGACTCCTGCTTCTGTCCCCTCCCACTCCAGTCCTTCCCAGTCTCCACTGGTGATAGGTGTGTTGTTTTTTTAAAGAGAACACAGGGACCACCCCAGAGGTCTGGGCCTTAAGAAGGGAGGGCTGAGAGACAGCTGGCCAGACCCAGAAGCCCAGACCAGAGCCCGCCTGCACACCAGCACTGCCAGAGCCTACTCTTGTGTTAATAGCGCACTCTTAGATGGAAGGCACAAACATGGCTTAGTGGCTCCCGGACTCTGTTCACCCAAGACTCTGCCTTTCCTTGCTTGTCTCTTTTGCCATCTTAAACTAAGAACATTCCTTCCAAAGGCCGCCTCCCACTTCCATCTGGGCTTCCAAGTGTTGGTGGAACCGGGTGTGCTCCCCAGGGCAGGAAACAGAATAAGGATAATAATATTAGTAACTACTTACAGGGAGTCGTGGTGTGGCACTGTGGGATAAGGCACTGGACTGCATGGTCAGTTTGAACCGCAAAGTCGGCATTTCAAACACAGCAGCCACTCATTGGGAACCCTATATTGGGTTGCTATGAGTCAGAACCGACACAATGGCACTTAACAACAACAACAGTAACCACTTATGGGACCCTTAAGACCTAGGTAGCTATAAGCCAGAATCTGCCCAGCAGTGGTTTTGTTCCTAGCCAGGGTACCTTCTATCTGTCACTGGAGGCGTGTGTGTTGCTATGGTGCTGATAAGGTTTCCACAGAGCTTTCAGACTAAGACAGACTAGGAAGAAAGGCCTAGTGATCGACTCCTTAAAATCAACCAATGAAAACCCTGTGGATCACGTCAGCGAATCCACTACCAATCATGAGGCTAGTGCAGGACCAGGTACTGAAATCACCATGAGTTGAGGCCAACTGTACTCTGCACCTTATTTCTTAATCCTCCCAACAAATCTGCGAGGTCAGCTATTGAGCTCGGAGAGGTGGACAGTGTGCCTGATCTGGGCCGGGCTTGTGAGGACAAAGCTGAGTGTGTTGCCAGGGGAGGTGAGAAGACCCACCCCAGTCCTCCTGACTGCCGAGCCTCCCCTCTACTGCATTCCAGGTCCAGGCCATCAATGTGTCCAGCCGATTCGAGGAGGAGATCAAGGCGGAGCAGGAGGAGCGGAAGAAGCAGGCTGAGGAGATGAAGCAGCGGAAAGCCGCCTTCAAGGAGTTGCAGTCCACCTTCAAGTAGCCCGCGGCCAGGCCTGACCACCCAGCCATGGCCCGGCGCCCAGCCCAGTGGGCAAGGTCAGGCAGGGGTGAGCGAATCAGGGGCCAGGCCTGCTGCCCGACCCTCTCTGAAGGGACCACTACTAAAAACCTAATGTCTGTGAATGAAGCACGCGAGGAGGGGCCAGGCTCTCTTCCGATGTTCCTGGGCCGTGACACCACTGGGCTCTCTGCCTGACCCTGTTCTCCCTGGCACTTCCTGCATCTCTAGCATCTTTATCATACCTGGCTGCCCTGCCACCTGCTCTGGCACTGCTCTCGGGGACCAGCTCCTGGCTCTAGGGCATTTGCTCCCTGCCAGTGTGCTCCCCCTCCCTACCAGCCTCTCCCTGGTCTCTCTTCCCCGCCCCCCAGTCCCAGCCTGCCTGCCCCTAACCAGCAGACTCTCCAGTCCCTGGGCCCTCTGAGAGTTCCTTCCCTAAGCTCTGGAGGGGGAAAGCCTGAGAGATTTTGGAGATCGAAAGAACAGGAGGCGCTTTTCTGCCAGCTCTGCCTTTTCTTTCTGAGGGGAGAGGGAGATTTCTATCTTGGTGAAGAGAGCAAGGCCCCTGGCACCCCATGCTGACATGGAGACCCCAGATCTCAGGGGCCCAGCAGGGCAGGGTGAGGGGGCAGGTATGCCAATCTACCTCACAGGCCCGCCCTCTGCAGGGGATGCCATGGGGCCATGGGCAGGGGAAATTCAAGGGGACAGATAGGCCATTTCCCAGCCTCGCCCCAAAACAGCGTGAGGGTGCCGGTTACTCCCAGAGAGTAGAGTGGGAGGGGCACTTGGCCCTTTGATCAGGAAGGCAACCCGTGCTCTGTCTCAGTTCTCCAGAAAGCTCCAGAAAGTACTCTGTGCGTTTTGCATGCATTGGGCATTGGGGAGCGGAGGAGCCTGCATCGGCCCTTTCATACCAACCTGCCCCAAATGATGTCCACTTTGCCCCTGGCGATGGGACCTGTCCCACTGTGCCCACCGTGAAGAAGCATGGGGACCACAGCCCTCGTACCCATTGCCCAGTGGGCTGTGGTCAAGTTCACACCACCAGCTCCCGATGTGCTCGCTCACATGCGTGTGTGTGTGTGTGTGTGTGTGTGTATGTTGCTGTGTCGTGAAACTGTGACCGTCACCCAGTCCAACAGCTTGGCCCTCGAGGCCACAGAGTTATGCAACTTTCAGTGTATATCATGACAGCGTCATGCTTTTGAACTCGATGACTCTTTATTTTAGTAAAATGCCCACGAGTCCATGAAGCTCCCGTTGGGCTGACAGAGGTGTTATTTTTTTGGCCTTAGAATCTGCAGGATTTAGGAGGTACTAACCCTGATGCAGCAGCCTTGGCCCCAGATTGCATTTGCCTTAGCGGATATGTTTATACAGATGAATATAAAGATTGTCTTTTGGAGTTTTGCTTTTTATTTTTTCCTCCTCACAAAAAAAAAAAAAAAGCTACTTCTTCATTCGGTGGTACGATTATTTTTTTTAACTAAAATAAGATAAAATTCTATATTCCTATGTGTGTGTGGTTCTTGTTGGTTGGTGGGGGAGGGGTGTGGGGAGAGGGGGAAGGAGTGAGGTCCTTTGGGTGTCGGGGTAATATCTGCCCAGGGAACTCCTGGGCCTTGGCAGAAGCCACAGCAAAGAAGGGACTCTTCCTAGTCAGGGAAGTTCGTGTTTGGTGCCCACCTGCTCTGCCAGATGCTATGGTAAGCACTTTATGTGGTAACTCCAGCCTCACAGCCAGCCTGGGATGGGGTGCTAGTTTGAGACCCCTGTCAGAATGAAGATTCAGGAGGCGGAACGATAAAGCCAGTCTCTCAGGGACACAGATGAGGCTAGCAGGATGCAGCCCGGCTGCTGAGTCCACAGCCCGGGGTTTAACTACTGAGTTGTCCTGTTCAGGGGTGGGGGTGGGGTGTCTCCATAGACTGTGACATACAACACACCCTAAACACCCTCCCCAACACACCCCTGTATCATCTCAACACAGGGACACTCCAAACATTCCAAGTGTCCCCCATCAGAGATACCACAACCATCTCATATACAGATACCCCAAGTGTCTCACATACAGAGATACCCCAGCACATACAGACATTTAAAACACCCCAGACAAAGACTCCCCCAGTCTGTCTCTAGGAGGCTGGGAAAATACCCCCGAGGAGGTAGGGTGATGAGGAATGAGGGGCAGCAGCAGCAACTCTGTTAATGGCTTTGGACACATCATATACCCACGTGGTCTCAGTCCTCCCAGCACTGGTTCCAGGTAGGACCCCCCTCCCCCCACCACCAGGTGCAACCTGAGGGTGGTAGGAGTTTGGAATTAGACTGGGCGGGCGCTGCTGCCCCTAGGTGGTGGTAAATGGTACTACAGCAGTCAGGATCCCTACCCCTCCATTCCTCGGGTTCTAGGGAATGCTGTTCCTACACACCCAGTGCTGAGATACCACCATCAGAATGCAGGACTAGCCCCCGCCAAGGGAAGAACAGCACCTCTTAGCACCCTAGTAAAAGGACCTCAACCGAGGGTGACAGGATTTCAATGCAAACTCCAGAGCAAGAGCCCAGCTGGCCTGGGGATGGATGTGGGCCTTGAACCCTCAGAGTGAGAGGGTACCAGGGGAAGCTAAAGGCAGCTTCCAGGGCCTGTGAGAAGGCTCTCAACCCACTGGCCCTTCAGTGAAGACATGACTCCATGCCAGGCCTGCCCAATCTACAGGTTTCAGGGGATACGGGGCACAAACCCCCCATCCCCTGCCCAGGGAAAGAGGGGAGGAGATGAAGAAGGTCTACAGTGATTCAGGAACCAAGAGTGAGAAAGAGAAATGGATTCTCAAACCACCCACCAGGTCTAAACTGTTCCATAAATCTTCACCAACAACACAAATATTTATAAAAAAACCTCCCAGGTCCCCACCCTCTCATTCAGTTTTCCTGAGTCCCGGTGGCAACCACCCAACCCCTAAACTATCTCTGAACCCCCAACTCCTTGCTGAACCCTCTGCCACTCACCAAATCCGGGTCCCCACAATCAAAATCCCAGTCCCTCAAGAGCCGCCGCAGCCCCTTTCAGAACTCCCAACCCTCTCACTGAGCCCTCAAACCTTCTCTGAACTCTCAGTCTCTTTCTGAACCCGTAGCCTCTCTGGATATTTAAGTTCTCACAAGTCTGGCTCTTCTCTGTCCCCTCTCACAGAATGTTCCCGTCCCCACCATTTCCATCTAATTCTGAGGAGAAACCCTGCCAGCCCATCACCTGCAGTACAACAGCTGCTGCCAGAGAGTCCTGCCCAGTGTCCAGAAAATGTGGGCCCCAGCCAACAGCACCTGCTCCGTTCTCAGCCCCAGCCCCAGCCTTGGCATTACTTCTGAGGCCCTGGGGCATCATCTGATCCCCTCCCAGCTTCAGCCCAGCCACCCAGCTCCCAGCACCTGCCACCACATCACCTATGGTATTTTCCCAGCACATTCTGACCCTGTGTGGTTCACAGACTTTGGGTTCCAGGTCCTGGCAAGTCATTGGTACTGAGTGGGGATGTGGGCCTTCTGGACATCCTCATACCCTCAAACCTCTTGATCCACTTTGAACATGAAATCTGCAGGGAAGGAATTCTTTCTCACCCCACAGCCCAGGACTGATCTCATCTCAGAATTCTAGCCCCTAGCCTGCCTCTCCAAGAAACACTTACCTACCCCCTGACTATAGGAAGGCTCACCGGAGTGTGGGCTTCTGCCGGCCTGGGAAGAATTGCACCTATGCTGAACCAGGGTCCTGTCACCTCTGTATCCCCACATTCTCAGTGAATGTGGGAGGAATGGATAGATGGGTGGGTGGATGGATGGATGGATGGATGAACATATTCTGGAAAAACAAAATAGCCACGTCTTTAAATACATAAGCCCCCTATCTCCTCCAATCACAGGAAATCCACTCTTCCAGAATTCCACTCTCCAGATAGTCACAAACCTCCCTGGGGCTACCTCTTCAGTCTTTGTTAGCATGATTAAAAAGGAAGGTCAGCCAGCCAAGTGTCACTGCCTAAATCTAGACAGTTATGGACATACACTGGAGCATCGCCCCGTGTTCTCTGGGTATGGCTGGTCCCCACACCAGGGTCAGAGCCAAGAAGGATGGCCAGGAGGGCATGCCTGAAGGTGCCCCTCCCTTACCCCCACTCCCAACAATTTGTTCTTAGAGAACACAGGCCTCTTCCTGTGCCCCAGAGTACAGAGAAAGGCAGCTTCCAGGGCCTAGGAGAAGGCTCTCTCCTTGATCCACAGAAAATTCTCCAAAGTCTCCCTCAGCCCAGTAGTCACACATAATTTCACCTGCAGAGAGCCCATGGGCAGGGCCACTTATCCATCAAGTACAATTGTCACAGTGCCTGGAGCCCACCATACCATTGTTGTTGTTAAGTGCCATCGAGTCAGTTCAAATCCATAGTGACTTTGTACAGGGTTTCCAAGGAGCTGCTGATGAGCTTGCACCACCGACCTTGCTCTTCAAACTGACTTGGCAGTCTAGCGCATTAACCCACAGCATCATGCCAGGACTTCCCATACCATTAGGGGACCAATATCATAGGGGAAAATGTAGGGAAATAATGAATATAACCCAGCATGGAATTCAATTCACTTTATATCCACACAATCATAAAACACAATTTGTATCTGGATTGAAGAAGAGGGAAGAAAATCAAAGAAGCAGGAAAACAATTAGTTCCAAGTACGAATGGACCACGTGATCCCCAGCCTTCATGACCCTGAGACCAGAAGAACTCAATGGTGCCTGGCTACCCCTGCTGACCACTCTGAAAGGGATTACAATAAGAGGTTTCAGATGGTTGTTGTTGTTAGGTGCCATCAAGTTGATACTGACTCATAGTGACCTTATGCACAACTGAACAAAACACTGCCTGGTCCTGGGCCAACCTCACAACTGTTGTCACGTTTGCGTCCATCAATGCTTCCACTTG